CACAGTGACCCTGCCCATGATGTCACGAGCAGCACGTGGCCCTTGGGGTGTGGCCACCAGCATCCCATTCTCTGCAGCTCCAAGCAGTGCAGTTTTTCCTGCTGCCCCGCATAGAGGACCGAGTGGGTGTCTGGCCTTCTTGAAGGTTCTCTATACTCAGTAGTCCACTGTGTGCTCACGATAACCCTGTGGATTCTGGCATCAACCTCAAGAACCCCTAAGGAAACTTGCTCAGAGAGGCCCAGTGTCTTCCCCAAGGCTACACAGCCAGGAAGTGGCTGTGTAAATGCTGAACCCCAGGTGAGCCGGATGCCCAATTCTTCTCATTTTATCCCTCTCTTGCCCTGCCTTGCACTTGAATTTATGCGATTCCCCTATGCAAGTCTCCAGAGCCACTCAGGAGGAGGGAGAGAGAGAGAGAGAGAGAGAGAGAGAGAGAGAGAGATCCCACGATCCCTAAACCTTTGGCACAGAGACGCCTCTGCTCTGTCTGAAGGTCCGCTTGGGGAGTTAAGCGATGATGAGAGAAATTAAATCCTTTAATGGATTTTGACAACAGCTATATGTTAGGGGAATTCAAATTACAGAAAGAAAAAGTTAGATTTTCTCTCTGGACTTGACTGCTAATGTGTATGTCTTAAGACATTAGCCACACTTTTTTTTTTTTTGGTCATGGTTGTGGCTTTTAAACTAAATCCAGCAATGTTCAAGGGCTACTCCTGGCTCTGTGCTCTGGGGGGGTCACTCTTGACTGTGCTCAGGGGCTGTCGGAAATCAAACCTGGGGCTCTCGCGGCAAAGCTGGTCAGCCCACTGAGCTACCCTTCCAGTCCCCTCCCCCCTCCATGATGATTCCTTTGAAAATGTCATTGTTAGGACCAAGGACAAGTCTTGCCGAGGTCCCTGAGTTTTGAGGGGACATTCACTCACTGTTTATTGGTGAGTTTATTGGGTTTCCTTCCCACTGCACCCCGTCCTCTTCTCCCCTCGCCCTCTGAGCATGAGCAGGGTCTGTGGTTTGCCCCCAGAAGAGGGGACCGAAGTTAGGCTTCAGGAGCGCCCTGCCTCCCCAAGGCAACCCCTGAGGTAGGAGGTGCTCCGAGTGACGAGTGCTGGTCCATTGAGCATCAGTGCTGGCTCATGGCCCTTGCACAGCTGATAGGACCTGATGTGGGAAGTGACAGCCCGGGGTCACCTTGCCCGCTTCCCTGGCTTCCGGCAAAATCACACCAAATTCTTCCTGTCACTTGTCTGAACGGATACTTCTGCTAACAGGGTCATTCCTGAGTGAGTGTATGTGTGTGTGTGTGCCCACGTGTGTATATGTGTTTTATGTGTGCATGTGTGTGTATGTGCTTGTATCTATATGTGTTGTGTGTGCGTGTATATATGTGTGTATATGTTTGTGTACATGCATGTGTATGTGTGTATGTGTTCTGTGTGCATGTATGTATGTTGTTCTGTGTGCATGAGAGTGTGTTGTGTGTGTGCATGCAGGTCAGTGAATTTTCACAAGCTCAACTGTGCCTTCCTAGGCTGGTAGTCCTCACTTGTGTGTGTTGTTGTATGTGTGCGTATGTTGTGTGTATGCATGTATGTGTTGGCATGCACGCACACGTGTGTGTATGCGTGTGTGCATGCGCACACATGTGTGTTGCCAGAGCATGTGTGGTCTGAGATGTGCGGCGGGTGGGCTCGTTGCTCCCTGCTCCCTGTGGAGCAGAGTGAGGAGTTGAAAGAGCTGACAGAAATGCAGGGGACAGCATTTCCAGCGAGAGGGCTGGCACGGAGCTCGGGCCCTGGAGTCATGTTGTGCCAGTGTTCTCCGACTAACCAGCGCCCCCTTCCGCCTCGGTTCCTCCCAGTGACCCCCACCGTCCTACTGGCTGGCCCCCTCATCTCATGCTGGGCACCTGTCCCCATGCACGTTCGTGTGATTGTTACCTGTGGCCTCCTTGGAAGAGCTGGGGTTCAGCAGGAGCCTGTGACAGCTTCTTCCCAGGACAGGCGGACGGAGGCCTGGGTGTTGGGAGAGGGGGTGGGAGCTGAGTAGGACTCCTCCACGCTCAGAACTGCAATCGCTCCTGGACCTAAGTGAGCTTTGGGGCGTCTGGAAGGAGATGGACCCAGGGGGTCAGGTCAGGCCGGAGGCTGGCCAAGTGCAGGCTCTGAAGGTCCATTCACTGCAGACAGTCCACAGAGGATGGAGCCTTCTGGGCTCCCAGACACGGGCCACAGGGCTGGGAATGACAGGAAAGAGTGAGGGTACCGTGAAAATGAACTGGGCCGGGAAGGCCTGGGCTGCCAGCGGGAATCACAGTCCGGTGCGAGATAAGTTCACGCGCGTAGGCAAGCGCACACGCCAGGCACCCTGGCTGCATTCACACCGCCCCATACTTTGGTGCAGAACTGTGTTTAAACACTAAAGTGCTTTGTTCCGCAGATGGGCTCGGAGTATGTAATTAAAAGGATCCCTTCATTAGCAGGAGCACACAATGAAAGCTCAAGTTGGCCTTTCCCGCTAATTTCGGAGGTGGAAAAACAGGCTAATACAACCGCCGATTACCTCCGGCACAGTTACAGAGGCGTCCCGTTGCCACTTTGTTCTCTCGGAGAACAGAAAGGATCTTCCCAGGAACCGGAAGAGATGAAAGCGGGGGAGAGAGGTTCATCAAAAATCAGAAACAAAAGGCCGGGGAGATAATAACACGGGCAAAGCATGGGGCTTGCGTGCAACCGACTCCAGTTTGATGCTTGGGACCACATCTGCTCCCCTGAGCACCACCAGCGGTGATCCCTGAAGCACAGAGCCAGGAGTCTGCCCTGAGCACCACCAGCCCCCTAAAACAATGACTCAGGGATGGAGTCACAGCACAGCGGGTAGGGTGCTTGCCCTGCACACGGCCAACCTGGGTTGGATCCCTGGCATTCTGTATGGTCTCCTGAGCCCTGCCAGGAGTGATCCCCGAGAGCAGATTCAGGAGTCAGATCTGAGCACTGCTGAGTGTGAGCCAGAAATGGAAGGGTACAGTACCACAGAGGCCACGGTGCTGCCTCCACAAACAGGCCACCCGGGGCCCAATCCCAGAGTGGTGGACAAGCAGCCCCCTCAGCCTCTGGAAAGTTCCGTGTTCTCAGATGTCACCTCAAACGAACGACGGTGTCCACGTGGCCTGTTGTGGGGATTCATGCACAGAGTCAGACTCCCTGGGCACCTACTATGTGCTGGTGGCTGCAGAGTCCTGAGGAGCCTTGGTGAGGCTGCCCTCACCAGACGCTTTTAGGTGAGGAGCCGTGTATTGGGCAGGGCATGGCACCAACGAGCCATTTCCTTTTTGGGCTTTTTCTTTTTTTTTTTTTTTTTTTTTTTGGCTTTTTGGGTCACACCCAGCGATGCTCAGGGGTTGCTTCTGGCTCTGCACTCAGGAATGACTCCTAGCGGTCCTCAGGAGAACATGGGGGATGCCGGAAATTGAACCCAAGTTGGCTACATGCAAGGCAAATGCCCTCCCCACTGTCCTATTACTTGGCCCCAAAAGGTGAATTCACTTTACTTTTTGGGGGTGCCGTTCACACCCGGCGATGCTTAGGGGTTACTCTTAGCTCTGCACTCAGGAATCACTCCTGGCAGTGCTCAGGGGACCCCACATCAGTGCAGGGTCCAGCTCAGGAGGTATGGGGGGGGGCGGGGAATTGTGAGTCTCAGGCACTTGAGGAGGGTGGGGAAGATATTAGGTGGGGTCTTGAGCACCAGAACAGGGAGTCAGGACTGTATTGTTCGCTGGGGGTGGGGAGGCTTTTGTTGGGATGGGAGGGCACTATAGATGGAGCAAGAGGGTGGGCCAAGCAGATTTATAGGGGGTAATGGGGGTGCTTGTGGGAAGGAAAGAAGGAGGAAGGGAGGGAGGGAGGGAGGGAGGAAAGGAGGAGGGAAGGAAGGAAGGAAGGAAGGAAGGAAGGAAGGAAGGAAGGAAGGAAGGGAAAGGAAGGAAAGAGGGAGGAGGGAAAGGGAAGGAAGGAAGGAAGGAAGGAAGAAGGTTGGATGAACAGATGGATGAATGGTGGGTGGGTGGATGATGGATGGATGAATGGTCAGCTGGACCAATGGATAGCTGGGAAACTGGAGGTGGGAAGGCCTATGGTGAGTTAATGTGTCGACAGCAATGGAGGAGCTGTTTTGGGGACAGGAAGGAGATCGGGTAGGATATGAGGGCTGAGGGGGTGGAGAGAGGAGGGGGCAGGGGCCCAGGTATTTCCTCTGAGGTCACTGACAGATTCTGGAGGCAGAGGGAACGCCCGTGGGGGTTGGAAGTACCTGAGGCCACCCCTGCAGTACAGTGCGGGAAGAGCAGAGCAGTTGCAGAAACTGTCAACAGCATCGCACAATAGGATGGTATTTTTGGGGGGGGAGGGAAGGAAGTGGGGGGAAGGACATGAGTTGCAAATAAGAAACTGCGAATCAGAAAATTGCAAGTGAGAACAAAAAATCAGCAGAGCCGGGGCGCGTGGCACCGCCCGATCGCCGGGTGGGGTGGCTGGTGCCTCTGTGAGTGACTCACGGGCGGTGCGGATGGCTTTTTGCCAGCTCTCGATGAGATTCTTGTATTTCCTGATTATCCAATTACTACCCATAAGTAGGAGTTTGAAATCAAACCCAGACCGCGTGGTGGTGGCAGAGCACTCTCCGGAATCGAGAGTGCGAGAGGGAGTGTGTCCTGAGTGGGGAGCGGGCGGAAGCAGAGAAGCAATTTCCAGACCCCTCTCTGCCGAAGGTGGGGGAGGGGTGCCCGTCCTAGCACTGCCCTGGGCTCTGGCGTGATCGATCGTGGGCGGGTCACTTCCTCCATCTTCTGTCCTGTACAGTTCGAGCAGAGCCTGAGCTACCAACACCCCCTGGAGGCTGTCAGGGAAGGGGCTGCAGGCAGGGGAGGGGGCTGGCTCGTGGCCTTGGGAAAGACCCTCAGAATAACGGTTCTCTCTTGCCTTCCCTGTGTGCGCCAGGTCTAAGCAGTACGAGAAGTCCTCCGCTGCCAGGGACGACGAACTGGACGCTGAGCTGACCAGCACCTCCAAAGGCCCCCGGAACCACGAGGCCCAGCTGCCCACCATCTGCCTCAAGCAGGTGTTCCCCAAGTACGCCAAGCAGTTCAACTACCTGCGCCTGGTGGACCGGATGGCCAATCTCTTCATCCGCTTCCTGGGAATCAAGGGGACCATGAAGTTGGGACCAACAGGCTTCCGTACCTTCATAAGGTCAGTGAGGCCAGGGCCAGCTCTAGGGGCTACCCTGGCCCTCGCTGCCCTCCCCCCAACCCCCTGTCCAGGGAGATTCCTTCTAGGCCGGGCTGGGACTGGACCCAGAGTCTGGTGTGAGGGTAAATTCCTGACCTGGGTGTAGCCACATTCCTGGGCTCCCTCTAGGGGCCCTGGCTCTGGTTGCCTTGAATTAGGTCCTTAACCCCACCTGGTAGCATCCAGGAGCTCTGGAGTTAGACAGACCCAGGCTCCCCAAACTCACGGGGCATCCTGTCCCCTCAACCAGCTGCTCACCCAGACTTTGGGACGTCACGGCGGAGACATTGGACGTATATTTCCGAAGTGTCGATCTGGGAGGAGAAAAGTGAAATCATTCCGTTGATAAATAATTTAACTTGGTTCACTCATTCTGAGTTAAAACTCACAGGGATGTGTTCGGGAGTTTCATACACGGTTTGCAGAAAGATAAAATGTGAGCTGGAGGGATAGTCCAGTGGGGAGGGCATTCGCCTTGTATGCTACTGATCTGGGTTCGATCCCCGGCAACCCATATGGTCCCCTGAGCATCACCAGGTGTGACCTTAAAAGCAAAAAAAAAAAAAAAAAAAAAGAACAAAACCAAAAAACTCATGAGTTGTAGAAACTTTGCAGCTGCTGGCAACCCAAGTCGCCGCCATACCGTCCTGTTGGTTGGTTGGTTTTTCAGTTTGGGGTTCTCAAGGCTGGCTCCTGGCTCTGCACTTAGGGCTCACTCCTGGCAGGGCTCAGGGGACCATATGGTATGCCGGGGATTGAACCCGGGTCTGCCGTGTGCAAGGCAGGCACCCTCCCAAATGTCCTATCTCTGGTCCCTGCCACTCCATCTGCTAGGTGAGTCACTGCGGGTGTTAACTCACTTGTCTCGACCCCTTTGGGCACTTAGAGGGTGACCCAGGAGTGCCGACTGACTGCGTTCCTGTGGGCCGATGGATGACCCTTCTCTGATCCTCCATGGGCTCACAAAATGGGGGTGAAGTTTTTGGATTCCCAGATTGTGTGCGGCACCTGAGACAAACCCTCCACTGGCACCGGGTGACTGCGGTTTTCATAGTGGTTTCTGTTGTGGTTTTCGTCGTGGTTTCCATCGTGGTTTTGCTATTTCCCTGCCCTGAGCCTCACTATCCCACTCTGCAGTGTCACCGTCTCGAGTCGGAAACCCCCTTTGGTCTATTACTCTTTTCTCTGAGGAACTGGGGGGGTTCGAGTGCATTGCTGGGACCTTCCTGGCAGGGGAGCACAGGAAGACATCTGCAGGAATGTCTGCTTTCCAGTGAAGGGGAAATGGTCCTGGCTTAGCTTTTCTGTGTTAGGGAAGAGGATTGGGGCGGTAGGCCAGGAATTCCCGGTAGACACTGAACAGACCTTTTTTTTTTTTTCATGCTTTTTGGACCACACCCAGCGATGCCCTGGGATTACCCCTGGCTCTGCACTCAGGAATTACTCCTGGCAGTGCTCGGGACCATATGGGATGCTGGGAATTGAACTCAGGTCGGCCGCATGCAAGGCAAACGCCCTACCCACTGTGCTATCACTCCAGCCCCGACACTGAACAGACCTTAAGGTCTAGTTTCATGGTCAAACTTGTGCCTCAGAGCTCTGTGGCATTAGGCGAGTCTCTTGTCTGTCTCTGAGCCTGTCTCTTTGTCCACAAGCTGAGTTTGTTTGCTCCTGCCCTGCTGGGGTTCTGGGCGTCTAGAGTATCACAGGTTCCAGAGTCCCAGCTCCAGGGGCTCATTCACCAGAGTCGTTTGTCCAATGGAAATCTTGCAATTAGTGCCTCTCCAGGGCAGTGAAGTGAAAAAGAAAAAGAAAATCCACCGGTGCACATTATTCCCCTGAGAAGGCTCCCTCTGACCACAGAGCTGGGTTTACTTGGAACAGAGACCTGTCCACGGGCGGACGGAGTCGCGAGAGAGATTTTGTGGCGAGTGACGGGAAGTTTGGCACTGAGGGTTCCGGGAGGGTTGAGTGACCGACTCGCCATCCCTGTTCACCCCTGCCAGGCCTGGCCTGCTAGGCCCGGAGTTGTCTCACAGCAGGGGAGCATTGTCTCAGTGGAGAGCACCTCTGAGCGCAGAGATGCCTTAGGGTCCCAGGATGACTGCTGGAAATCTAGCCATCACACAGGCGCTCCAGGCAGGAAGAGGGAAAGAGGGAGGAAAAGCGAAAGGGCCTCTGCCAGATGAGTTAGCCACCCCCTCGCTCCCTTTACAAAGCTTTCCCCGGGGTGGGGGTGCAGCACAAAGAGGTGAGCAGATGCCAATGGAACTGTTCCTCAGAATCTGCCGACGCAGAACCCCCCCCCCCACTGGTGGCAGGTTTCCTGCAAGCAGCGTCCTGGGTGCCACACGGGCTGCTGACCCTGTGGGACCGCCCAGCCTCAGCCTGGTGGAGGGAAGAACAGGGCCTGGCAACTCCGCCTGAGCGCCTGGAACCCCCAGGACAGGTCAGAGGTGGGGAATGGAGCCCCCTGCCCCTCTCAGTCTGAGACTGCACACACCCACGAACAACACCAGGCTGTGGCCCCAGGGGGCCCAGGAGGAAGGTGCAGGGGTTGGGGTTCACAGGAGTAGAAGTCCCAAATGGGGAGAGGAACGCACCATCGCCATTCATACCTGCTGCAACCTTGGCGGGCTCCCCAGAGAAGGCTGTGGCGGAGGGCGGGGTAGAGGGGGTGTACCCAGAAGGAAAGGGACGTGGGTATGCTCAGTCTGGGCCCATGGGCAGAGCCCCAGAGCGGACCCCCTGTGAGGCTGGCGCTGAAAAGTTTGGAGAGAGAAGTTCCTCGTCCGGCCAAACTGAGCCCTGGAAACCGAGATGCTTCCTAACAAGGGGCCATTAAGATGCCACTAAGCCGCCACTACATCACGAGTCCCACCCACGGCAAAGTCCTGAGCCGGTGCCCTGGGCTGGTGGGGGGCTGGAGAGGGCAGGGCCCCGGGGACGAGGGCTTGCACCGCTGGTTTAACGCCACCTGTGTTCTTTTTTTAAATTTTTTAAATTTTATTTTTATAAAGTTGTTCACGGTAATGGATTACATTCAGTATTTCAACAGCAGTCCCACCACCGTGACACCTGCCCATAAACATTATTTCGAATTTCCCCACTGCCGTTCAAGCCTGCCCCACAGACAGATGCTAGATCATGTATTCTGTATGGCTTGTTATGAATGGTGTGAGATGTCTGTGAGGGTCTATCTCACAGTGACTCAACAAAAAAGAAAAAAAAAATTATGAGACGTCATGCAGCCGCTTTTGCGGCTGCGCGCTCCTGAAATTCTAGAATTTTAAATAATTGGGGTCTGGAGACATCTCTGCAGAGAGCTGCCCGGTTCTGAGATTCATTTGTGAGTCTCTGGATCATGGCCGTTAATGCACTTAAATGGCACCCAGAGGCAGTTCATGGGCGTGACAGCCAGGACCCCGGAGGGGCGGGGAGATGGGAAGGGGCAGCCCAGTCCCGACCCCTTGAGATCTGGTGTTTTCAGTCGCTGATCCTGCATACCTGGAGGTACCTGAGCTTTTTGGTGTCCCCCCCCCCGCCACACCACCACCACCCCCCGCCCGCGCAGGAAGTGTGATGTCTCAGACCTGGTACCTGAACACTGGTCATTCAGAAAATGATTTTCCTTTTTGGTTTTTTGGGGGGGGCACACCCAGCAGCACTCAGGGATCACTCCAGGCCTTACCCTCTGTTCTGTCTCTCAGGCCTCAAGCCTAACCACTGGCTCCCTCCCTCCACACACACTTTGGATTTTGGGTTACACCCAGCAGCAGTGCTTAGGACTTACCCCGGCTCTGCACTCAGGGATCTCGCCAGGCCTTTAGGGGCACTGGGGATTGAACCCGGGTCAGCTGGGTACAAGGCAAGCATACTGCCCACTGTCCTCTATCTCTGCAGTCCACAGAGGATGATTTTGAAGCACCGCTTGGCTTGGGTTGGGTCAGAGTGTGCGTGCCTGCAGAGAGCACAGTGGGAACCCTCCCCACAGGGCACACAGACACACACACACCCACCCCCGGGGCATGTGTCAGGAGGCTCCTGAACAAACAGGCCTGACCAGTGAGGGAGATTCCAGAAACGCTCAGACTGGAACCAGATGATGGGAATATGTGTGGCCATAAATCTGTCTCTCCGGACAGACTTCCAGTCCCCCGTCCCTTTGTTCTCCACTATTAAGGGCATTTACATGAAAGACATGCTAGTGCTGCTGGAGATGGGTCCCTTAGCCTGCACTCACAGCCTGGGTCCAGGCTCTGCCCGGAGTGCAGTACATCCCCCCATCGAGAAGAGGAAGGCCCCCCCACCCCCTCCAATGGTACCTAACCCCTCCTCGCCCACCCACCCAGACCCTGACTACTTAAGGATGCAGGAGGAGAGAGGAATGTCCCTACAGTATCGCACACCCATGGACAGATCCCCCCTCCCCTTTTAAAGTGCGCTAAGAGGTCCCAGTAGCAACTCAGTCGTAAACTGATGCGTGTTCAGCCTTGCCACTTCCTCTCAGCGGCAGGCGTTTTTCTCTTGCTAACAGCGGTCCCCGAACCACTTTCCCCTTCGGCTTCAATCCTGCTTCGTAATGAATTAATAATATTTGTGCCATATGTTAAAAGGATCTGGGCGCCCTGCTCGGGAGCCCCGTGCGGGAGAGGGCGGGAGAGACAGGGGCCCTGCCCGCCTGCCCACGCGCGCGGCCCGGGCTGAACTTGGCTTTCATCTCCGCTCCCCTCACTTTCTCTCCTGGAAGGGGAAAAACTGGAAGGAACAAAATAATAAACATTCCGGTGGAATTCACTTGCAGTGACCGGCTCTTCTAATGTGCTGCATAGATCAGCAGTTTTAGGAGTGAATTATGCAAAAAATGCCAGTCTGGCCATATTCGTGGGGTTTTTTTTTTCTTTTCCTTTTCCACCAAGAAATGAGAAATAATGAACTGTCGTTCCCTTGTCTAGACTTAACTCTCTCTAACCAGCTTTTCCTGTCATTTTCTCAGGAGGCACATAATTGTAGCACGTATTACCGTGAATTAAAGCGCCTCTTCTCCCCCTCCCCCCCCCCGCCCCCAGCCGGCCCTTTTATTTTATTTTATTTTTTCATAATAATTGCTGGTGTGTGGAGCCTTCCCTCCTCGGAGAGATAAAAATGATTAGATCCTGCAGTGTGACAGCTTTCGTGGAGGGAAAGGCACTCTGTTATCTTCTTTGCCCCTGGAACTCCTAATCTGGGCGGGCACCCTCTGTAGTTCCCCAAGAACATGCTTCCAAGTGTGTCCGCCATCAGCATGACATCCTTTACCCCAGGACACATGTTCCGTTTCCCCTGCTCAGATATTAAACCACTTGCCGGAAACCAGGTTTATTTCTAGGAAACGGAGGCAGAGGATAGGCGCCTCCTTGCAGGGCGCAGGCCAGCTCCTCCTCCAGGAGAACCAACCAGCTAGTCCCTCCTCCTCCTCCTCCTTCTCCTCCTCCTCCCCCCCCTCCCACCTCCCCGTGGCGTCTCTCATCTTGCTGTTCTTACAAAGTCAAGAACGGTTTTCCCTTTCTTCCTCCTCTACTCCCTTTTCTCATAAGGAGATATTAATACGCTTCATAACGGTTAGCTGTGGGGGGTTTTCCATCTCCGAGACAGCAGCGGCAGTGTGATGTGTTAGAAGGTTCTGGAGCAAGAAGCACCAGGGGCCTTGCCTTCCCCCTCAGTCATTAACTCCTTGATGACTTGGAACATCCTTCTCCTCCTCCTCTTCCTCCTCCTCCTCCTCCTCCTCCTCCTCCTCCTCCTCCTCCTCCTCCTCCTCCTCCTCCTCCTCCTCCTCTCTGATAATCTCTTTCCAGCGTGGGAGCTAATGCCCGGGTTGGCAACCGCACTGTAAATAAATAAATAAATAAATAAATACAGGTGTGATAAGAAGCTGAGACTGTCTGTACCCATTCCTACATAAGTTTAGATTGTGGTTTGGTTTTTGAAAAATAAGTATCGATCATGGGCTAGCATTCCCCTTATGGAAGATTCTCCCGGAAAGGTCGGCTTTCTGGCCCAAGGGAGGAAGGCACACACGGGAGACCCCTTTTAAGGACGCTTTCCCGGAGTGGAAAGGATTAGCTTCGAAACTCCCCCTGAGGTGTTGGGAGTTGTTGAGAGGACACAGTTATGTCAAGTCTGTCTGCTGGAGGGTGAGGGGCTCCCAGGGAAGAGGAATGATTGGGAAGCGTCTCTCCTTCCCCGTACAGGAGCTCAGATTCCCTGGTTCCTCATCCAAAGGAGCGGTGTTAGTTTGTTTGTTTGTTTGTTTGTTTATTGTGTTCTTCATCCTGGCTCTTCCATGGGGGGCGGGGCGTGGGGACTGTTGTTCTCCCCTTGAGCAGAGGAGCTCGGCGCTCTGCTGGTCCTGGGAATAGCCCCGGGTGGTGGTGCCCCTGTACCTATCGTCACACGGGGAGGCCAAGAGGCAGAGCTGCCTTGCAGGTCACACCCTGGAGATGGGCCCCAGGCACCCGCACGGTGTGCTGGCTGTGCTCATGTCCACCCTAGGAATATTTCTCATTTGCCAGTTGTCTTGGATTTCTCACCTGCTGAAGAATTGGTTCTTTAGTACATCAGTCACAAGCTCCCGGGGCATAAGGGAACACAGTTCTCCCTGATTCAAAGCTCCCCAGGCCTCATACCTTTTTCCCCAGACTCTGAGCCCACGCCCCTCCTCGGAGATGGAGCCTGAAAGACTGACTCCTCTCTGCTGTCACTCACGTTCGGAGCCCTCTGTGCTGCCCAGGCCACTGGACACAAGATGAACCTGCATTGAGGATGGGGCGGGGCAGATGGATAGATGGATTTGGGGTGGATGGGCAGGTGGGTGACAGGTGGGTGGATAAAGAGTGAATGGATGTATGCATGAATAGATGGTGTGTAGGTTAATGAATGGACAGTGGTGGATGGATGAATAGGAAGATAGATAAATGGATGGGCTATCGATGGATGATGGATGGATAGATGGATAGGTGATGGCTGGTGGGTGGGTAGGTGGGTGGATGGATGGGTAGATTATGGGTATGGTGGATGAATGGATGATGGGTGGATGAATAGGTAAATGGACAGTGGATGGATGGATGGATGGATGGATGGTTGGATGGATGGTGGGTAGGTGGGTGGATGGATGGCTAGATTATGGTAGGGTGTATGGATGGATGGTGAGTGGGTAGGTGGGCAGATGGATGGTTTATGGGTGGTGTGAATGGATAAATGGATGGACTATGGATGAGTGGATGGATGGATGGATATATGACTGATGGATGGTGGGTGGGTAGGTGGGCAGATGGGTGAATGATTGATCAGTGGATGGTGGGTGGATGGATACACAGATACACAGACATATGGACAGATGTATGGATGGGTGGATGGGCAGATGGGTGGGCAGGCAGATGGGCCAATGAAGGGTGGGCGAGTAGGTGGATGGATGGGTGAATGGGTGGATGGGTGAAAACTTCACTCCCAAGTCTTACCCAGCAGAGATATTCCCTGTTGAGCAGAGTGAGTGCTGGGCAGCCATGAGGTCGAGTCATGGGGTCCTCGTCTCCATGTTTCCTGCTTGTCTCCCCCCAGGGTCTCTGCAGTGGCCTCAGCCTGACAGAAACCTAGCTGAGACCTCGTGTCTTGAATCCTGGCTTTTTTCCTGTGGCCCCAGAGCCTTCTCGACCCGACTCTCCCTAGCTCCCCAAGCCTACTCTGTCCTCCAGGGAGGGCTGGGTGTGAATCCCAGCAGGCCAGACCCCTGGTCCTGAGCCTCGGCCTCCTTGTCATTGAAAAGGGACTGAGAGTACCGTCCCCTAGGATAGTGATGGAGATCCCAAGAGCCCCTGGGCAGGACGGCGCCTGGCACGCAGCTGGGGCCCCGGAAATGCCTCTAGAATCAGATTTCTTTGAAAGCATTTCCTATCTCCTGCCACCAACCCAGGTCCCTCCTTCCCCGGTCCCCACAGCAGCTGCGGCAATCAGCCGGACTTGCAGGCATCACTCGGGAGGATGAGGCATCACTCGGAAACGGGATAAAGCGAGAAGGCTCTGTGGGAAATTACGGCCCCTGCTAACGGCTTGACACTTCTATTTTCTACCTGTCAGGAAAAAGAAATAACTATATGCCAGAAGTCAGTTGCGCTTCCCTTTTTTATACTGCTTGAACCCCCAGAGCAAACTGGGCAGCCCCGGTGTCCTGTGGGGGGAGCGAGGGCTGGTCAGCCAGAGGGACGCGGGTAGGAAAATCAGAGCAACCCAGTGGCCATGGCTACTGAAACCTCAGAAAGAAGCCGGGGAGATGGCCTGAGCCCCTGGGAGGGGACTGCACTGTCCCCGGCTGAGCCTGATGGAGATGGCCATCGCGGTGGCAGGTGACCCGCGAAGCCCAGTGCCTGCTGACACGTTGTCACTGAGACTCGCTAACGAGTGCTGATGTGCCTTGAAGTCGCCTGGTCAGCCGGCCGAGCGCCCGGCCGTGGTGACAGACGAAGCTGGAGCCTGGGAGGAAGCTGCGGGGGGGGGGGGGGGGGGGGGGGGGGCGGCGGGTGAGAAGTGGAAGCTGGGAAAGGCGGCCGAACATGAAGGGAGGAGGCAGGCGGGGAGGAATGAGGGTGCGGGCAGTGAATGTCATCAGGGTGCTGCTGGCCCCCACCGGCAGGGACATGCCTGGGTTTGGAGAGAGGCCAGGGGAGGGCCACACCCGGCCTACCCGCATCCCCTCTGCCAGTTGGGCCCCTGAGGGAGCTCTGCTCACCTTGGGGTGATGGCCAGTGGAGAGGGGAAGGCCGCTCTATCCGGAGCCGGGCTGTGGGGAGCCGAGGGGTGGCCCTGATGGTGGAAGCTGCCCCCCGGGTCAGCCCCCTCCATTCACCGCTCTGCTCAGGGGGCTCCGGCGGCCTCTGGCCTGAGCGAAGGGCTGGAAGGTTGGCGTGTGAGCCCACGGCCGGTGCCCAGGGAGGGCCAGAGGGGTCTCTGGCAGCTCCTGATGGGGGAACGGGAAGAGAAGAGAGGAGAGAAAGCGGGGAGGGAGCTCACCATCGGCCTGGGCCCACCGGCACACGGTACTCTCCCTGAAGGGCTGGCTTTGACCCTGTCCTAAAGGCCTCAGAGGTGGGCGGAAGCGGCCATGCTCGCTCAAGGACCTCACTCCTAGCCTTCTTGAGGCCCCCAACATGCTCTTCCCTCTGGAGACCTCTGTTCCCCCAAATCCAGGACAGGTGAGGGGGTGAGAGAAGGCCCTCAGGGCCTCTGTGGCCTAGCCCAGCCTCAAGGGCACATTCGTCCTCCCTGTGAGGTTGCCAGGCGACTCCCCGAGAGTCCGGAGAGTGTGGGGAAGGTCAAGCTGACCCCCAGAGACTGAGGCAGGGGGTTGACCAAAAGCATCCGGCTTCTAAGTGGCAAAGCCAGGGGTCAACTGCAGACTCCCCTCCCCCACCCACAAACACTCTTTCCAGACCCTTTGCCTCCAATGATCGTAATTCCAGCACCCACAGGCTCCATCCTTTCTCCCTCCACGCCCTGCCCCCTGAAGCCCCCCCCACCCCCTTCCGGGGAAAGGTAGGGAGGAGGGTAGGGAGTGTGAAGGCAGGAGGGGGGAGGGAGGGAGCCCAGGGCAGGGAGCAGAGGCCCAGCCGAGGCCAGGGGCCACTTGGAGGTGGGCCCTGCAGTAACGCCCCTCCCGTCTCCGCAGGAACTGCAAGCTGAGTAGCAGTGGTTTGTCCATGGCCGCAGTGGACATCCTCTACATCGACATCACGCGGAGATGGAACGCCATGACCCTGGACCAGCGGGACTCAGGTACCCGGAGGCTGCGGCCCCCCAGGCAGGGCTGGGCGGCACCTTGCCTGGGAAGATCCAGGTGGAAGAAGGAGGCATTATCGCTTGAGGGATGGCGCTGGCTATGGATTCAAGAGCGAGATGGTCCCTCTGGATTCTGACTCCACCCTTTATTTATTTTAGGACCCTTTATTTATTTATTTTTGCTTTTTGGGGTCACACCCGGCGATGCTCAGGGGTTACTCCTGGCTCTGCACTCAGGAATTTCTCCTGGCGGTGCTCAGGGGACTAACTAGGTTGCTGGTAATCGAACCCGGGTCAGCCGTGGACAAGGCAAACACCTATCCCCTGTGCTATCGCTCCAAGCCCCTCCCCCACAACGCGGGCCCTTTAATGAAGACTTTTAGCTCCGTTCCTCCTGGGACGCCCTCTGGGTCCTTCTGTTACTCCTCCCAGAGGCCGTGTACTGAGCCCACAGGATGGGGGGTGAGGGGGCAGGCCCTGGAGAATCCAGAGTGGAGAGTGGTCCCTACCCCGAAGAGAGTGGGGCTGTGGTAGGTGGGGAGCAAGTGAGAGCTCTCTGAGGTCACAGCAGAAGAAGACTCTCAGCCCAGAGGGTCTCAGGGGACGGTGAGTGGGAGAAGTTGGTCGCCGGGGTAGGGGCTGCACATGCCTGGCCTTGGGATGGCCCCGTGAGAAGCTGGTTGAGCTGCCCCAGTTGCCTGTGCTGGGCTGGAGGCAGGAGGTAAGGGTGAGGCAGGGGCGGGGCGGGGCGGGGCTGGCCACGGGTGGGAGCTGTCCAGTGCTGAACGCCACCCAGCCGGCGCGCCTGGTCGTTAGCAGGGAAGGTTTCCATGGGAAGACGCCTGCTTAGGCGGATGAATTTCTGATGATTTCCTCTGAGGGTATTTTTTCCTCCCCTGAAAAGCTTTAAGAGCCGTCCCTGACATTTGTACAGCTCATCACCACATTACCAGGTACTTCATGCATTTCTCCCTCATTAATCGTTCCTGTGACCCAGCGCCGTTCTCATTTCACAGACCAGAGAGCAGCGGCTCCCGTGACCCGGCGCCTGGGTTTCCCCTCTGCCGGGCTTCCCCGAGCCGGCTGCCCCCCTGCAGCCCGGAGGAGGGGGTGCCCCAGGGAGGAAGGAGTTTGCTCCCAGATCCCCGGAGAGGACTTGAAATCAGAACCTGATGGGGCTGGAGTGATAGCACAGCGGGGAGAGCGTTTGCCTTGCACGTGGCCGACCCGGGTTCGATTCCCAGCATCCCATAGGGGCCCCGAGCACCGCCAGAATCGACAATGGCCTCTCGGGCTGGCGTGAGCTGGAGAGCACTTGGCCTCCCTGACTCTGTTCTTTTGAAAGCTGGAGCCAGCCACGCCTGCTCTCCAGGGGGACACTCTTGTGGCTGGGCTGTGTGGATCACGGCTGGGTGGGACCAGGGGAGGAAGACAGGCTTGTCTCCCTGGTAGGTAAGGAAACCGCAGCTCAGAGGCACAGCAAGTGGTGACAGGTCTTGGCGTGAAATTCTGGTGGCTTTATCGAGGCGGGGTGGGGGGGTTGCCAACTCTGGCGAATCAACAAGGTGTCCGGCCCCGCGCAGGCTGCTGTGGGAGCTCCCTGTGGCTCCCCTGGTTGCCAGGGCAGAGCAGAGTGGGTGTCAGCGGCAGGTCAGTGCGCAGGCTAATGATCCTCTTCAGGACAGAGCACGCACAAGTGACCATCAGCAGGGCCTGCGTTTCGCTGACACTTCTGGAAAGCGAAAAAGTGTTTTTGCAAAAAGTTGCAAAAAAATCCTCGAAGCTGGGGACGCTGCGCGGGGGCCCGTGGAGGGAGGTCAGGGGAAGGGCCTGGGGCGGTGACGAATTATTAAATATTGAAATCGATCGGGAGTAGCAGTAGGAAGTGATTTATCATGTTTTATTGCTTAAAACTCGTGTTACCATCTGGCCCGTTGTTAATTCCAAGTAGCTTTTTGTGTTTTGTTGGCCTCTCCAATTGCTCCCTGGAAGTGGGGTCCGGAGGAGCTTTCTGGGCCAGGCCAGGGCCTCTTGGTGCTGCTGACCAGGCTCAGGAGATGAGGAAAAGGATTCTGTTTCCACGTGTGCTGACGAGCAGACCTGGGCCCCAGTGACGGGGGGTAGGGGCGGGAAGGTGCGTTCCTGGTACCCGCAGCAGGGGGGTCACTTATTTTGCCAATTCCCACACCAGAACCTCAAGGGAGGCATCAGACCCCTTTTTCTGAGGGGAAAACAAGAACCCTTAGGAACTTTGTCTGAACTCCTGTACACAGCCAGTGAGCGCAGGGAGAGTGGAACTCAGGCTGCTGCCTCTTGGCCCAGGGGGTGTCAAGTGCAGGGTGACCCCCAGCAGAGCTAGGAGATTTGAGGGCAAGGGCTTGTGAGACAGGAGTGAAAGGTACTTGGTACTGGGCCCACAGGAGGACCAAAGGGAGGAGAGAAGCGGTGCCTTGGTGCAGCCCGACTCTCCTCCCCGCACTCTCTGAGCAAGTGCCGAGGTTGCCACTCCTGATGGAGAATGACAAGGGCCGGACCATTAGCTGGACATCAGACGTCAGTGCCTGTGCTCACAATGGAATGGCTCCCAGATGGGCCTTGAGGAAAAGGTCTCACACCTGAGGAGAAGATCTCACAACCTGAGAAGGTCCCACATCTTAAGATCTCACCCACCATAAGAAAGCCCCACCCCTCAGAAGAAGATCCTACCCCTCAGTTTAAGGAGAATCTACCCCACAATTCAGGAGAAGGTCCCTTATCTGAAGAGAAAGTCCCTCTTCTCAGAAACCCCCACACCTCAGAAGAAGGCCCCATATCTCACAAGTTCCTATGTCTGAAGAGAATGTTCCATACCTGAGGAGAGGGTCCTACACTTGAGGGGAATGATCCACACCTAAGGAGAACTTCCTGAGAAGTTTCCACACCTGAAAAGGTCCCACACCTGAGGGAAGAGTCTCACACTGAAGGGAATGGCACACACCCGAGGAGAAGGTTTCACATCTGAGGAGGCAGGTCCTGTGTTCAAAAAGGAGCTTCTGGTGCCAGCTGTGTTCTTTGCTCACTCAGAAAGCGACTGGTTGGCCAAGAATGAACCTGTGGTTGTGTGAGGGCCTCAGATCCCCACACCCTGGCCCTGGAGAGCTGAGGGGTCTCAGGCCAGAGTTCAAAGGAGGGGGGCAGCCTTACCTTTCCCAGCACTGTTGTGGGCTGACTAAAAAGGAATCCAAAGAGTGGCAAGACCCAGGTTCTCCTTCTCAATGGGTCTGGCCTCATATTCACTCAGCAAAAAGGACACGAGCATGTCTCCTGGCCATGTAGAAACATCAAGAAAAATATAATTTAAATAAAATAATGACCAAAATAATTAAAATTTAAAAAAAAGAAAAAGATAATGGCAAGAGAATCTTGAGAGAGCTACTTCTCAAGAAAAAAATCGTAAGACTTTTTATGCAGCACGAACTGTGTGATGGAAGTTGAAATGTTCAGTGATCTCATTTACCGTTCCCCCCAGCCCTGGGAGATAAAGGCTGCCATTCCCATTTGATAGATGAGAAAATCAAGGCTCAGAGAAGGGGGGTTGAAGCAGACATGGCAAGCGCGGCAGTGGAGATCCTAGGAGCTGGGTCTGGGGCCACGGCTTCTCCTGGGACCCTGTAACTCTGACCGCACAAGTGACATGGCACCCACCCACAGAGTTTTAAGGTTTTGTTGTTTGATTGGTTTGGGGTTTGGGGGCCATACCCGGCGATGCTCAGAGGTAACCCCTGTCTGCACTCAAGAATCAGGGGGCCATTTGGGATTCTGGGGATTGAACCCAGTTTGGCCACGTACAAAGCAAATGTCCTATCCACTGTATCATTGCTCTGACCCCCCAACATATTTTAAAAATTACTCCCTAGTAACCCGAACATATAGGTAATTTTTTAAAATACTGGGGGCTACAGACTTCTAAGAGCCTTGACTTTTTTTTTTTTTGCTTTTTGGGTCACATCTTGCAATACTCAGGGGTTACTCCTGGCTCTGCACTCAGGAATTACTCCTGGTGGTGCTCAGGGGGCCCTATGGGATGCCGGGGATCGAACCCAGGTCAGCCACGTGCAAGGCAAACGCTTACCCACTGTACTATCACTCCGGCCCGGAGCCTTGGCTTTAGCAGGGGGCAATCTCCTTGACAGACACCACCCCCCACCCCCGCACTTGCTCTCCTACTGTCCAGCACCAGACGCCAGCTGCCACCCCACACCCAGCCCTGGCTGTGTCCAGGGGCTCCACACCTCCCCTTCCTTGGAAGCTGGCTCTGCTGCAGTCACAAAACTGGGTCCTTCCAGGGGCTAACCAGATCCACACCCCCCACTTCAGTGCCTTCCTAAGGCGTGGAACTACCTGGATGCGCAGAAGACCCTGGCACTGAAGTGGAGATGAGAGCGAGTGTTTGAGAAGAAGGCAGGTGGGGGCGGGAGGTCGCACGAGAAGAAGCCGGTGTGCAGTGTAGATTCAGGACCTCGGGCTGTCCTCCTCAGCACGCCTGGCTCCCACTGATTTGTTTTTTATTAGACCAGGTGCAGCAAATTGGATTAATCATCATCGTCCGGTTCACGATACACTCCCAGCAGAGCCAGCTCGCACTTGGCTCTTTGAATCCGTTATTTTCAGTGATGGAGCAAGCACCCACAGCCGCACCGTCCGAGGGGAAAGCGATGTGGCTCGAGGCTAGCCCATCCCTCCCACCTGGCTCCCCCAAACCCCAGCCCACCCCCGCCCGAAGTCCCCCACCCCTGCAGGGGGACCTCTCTGCCCTCAGTAGGCCCAGCTGTCTCTCCACTGGGGTGCCAGTGACTTAGGTGCTCCGTGGCATTTTATGCTAGGCAATCTCACGTTCCCAGCGGCCTGACGTCATTGTCATTTAAAAAAACAAAAAACAAAAAGCAAAAACAAACTTCTTTTGAAAGGATTTCAATTTCCAATTCAAGGGTTCCTAGCAGAACACAGAAATCTAAGTG